CGAATGAGAGGGGAGGTGGGGAGGCGCCCGGCGACGGCGGGGAAGAGGAGGAAGCCGGGCCCGCTCACCGCGGGGCCGGGCGGCGGCAGGGGTAGGAGCCGGGAGGGGGGGCCCCACGGCGGCGCTGCGGCAGCGGGGGGGGGGAGGCCGGCCACGCAACCAACGGAGGTGCCTGGGGGGGAGCAGCGCCCAGCGTGGGCCGGTGTCGAAGTGGGGCGCGGAAATGCAAGCCGTGGGAGCCGAGGTCACAAGTGACCTACGAGGCAACCCGGGATCGGCCAGCGCAGGACCACCTCCAAGGGGAGGGGTCGGCAGAGGGGGGGGCCGGGGCACGAGGCGGCGGCCGAGGGCGGAGTAGTGCCCAGCGCAAGCTGGAAGAGACGGTGCACGCGAGGAAGAGGCCAAGGGCGACGAGGTCGCGGGTGGCCTGCGAGGCAGCCTGGGGGCAGGCACTGCGGGGACCACCTCGGAGGAGGAGGGGTCGGCCTGAATCGAGGCCAGGCGGGACGGGCGGATTGGGGGAGCGGAAGCGACGAGGCCAGCCGGGCAAGAGCCAGGCGGCTGGCTATAGGCTGGAGGCCCGCAGGCCGGCGGAGAGCGGGCGGTCATGTCACAGGGGCACCGAGGAGGTGCGCCAGCGAGCAGGAGCGCCTGGCAGGGAGCTCGGGGAGGGGGCGCGGGGCGGCTGGCCGAACACGCCCGACGCAGGGGGGCAGAGGGCGGAGGCTGCGGGCGTGAAGCCCGGTGCCACAACCTGCAAAAAGGCCACGCGCGGGGAGCCGAGGTCGGCTGTGACGTGCGAGGCGCCCGGGCGGCGGCGAGGGCCGGCGCCGCCGCCTCCGCCCAGGCGGGGGGGGAGAGAGAGAGAAGGGGCAGGGCGAGCCCGACGGGGGCCAGGGCGGGGCAAGGCGGCAAGACCAGCCCGTGCCAGGTCCGGGAAGGCTGGCGAGATGGCCGGCCGCCCGAGAAAGGGGAGAACGCGAGTCCCGCAAGGACCCAGAAGCGCTCAGTAGACGAAGCGCCGGCGGAGACGCAGGCGGCGGCGGCGGCAGTCGGCTGCCTGTAGGCGGGGGGGGGCAGGCCAGAAGCCTGGCGAGGCCCACAGGACCAGCACACCCGGGGGGTCCCGTAACCCGGGGTAGGCCAGAGGCGTGGAGCGCACATCGCGGAGATGTCGTGACGCGGCAGCGTCGACCAGGCAACGCCGCGGGGGGCGCACCGCGCTGTGGCGAGCAGGCCAGCCGCTGGCGGCGGGCATTCTGGGGGGTAGCGCAGGCGCGCAGGGGCACCGCCCGGCCCTGGCCGGGACACGTGGGGTGCCGCCGAACGGGGCCAGCATTGAGCAGCAGGAGATTCCGTGATGGCACCGGCCGCTTGCTCAGGCACGCGCGCACACACGCGCACACGTATGGGGAGCCCCGGCGAGCCCAGGACCAGCGCACCCAGGGGCTGCCAAGGCAGGGAGTGGCCAGGCAAGCTGCTCGGCGTGGTGCTGCTGGTAGCAGTCGTGGTCGTAGCTCTCGCGGTGCTGCGTGCCTGTCAGGCTGGTGCAGCTTGGCGCGGTGCTGCTGGTTGCGGTCGGGGCCGTAACACTCGTACTGCTCATCGACGTGTTTGTCCGAGTGGTGCTGCTTGACGTAATTAGTGCTGCTGGTAGCGGTCGTGGTCGCAACTCGCGCGGTCCTGCTTTCACTTGTTCTGTTCACCGACGATTGTGTCCGAGTGGCACTGCATGGCGTGGTGCTGCTGGACGCGGTCGTGGTCGTAACACTCGTGGTTATGCACCCACTCGTACTGCTAATGAACGCGCTTGTAAGAGTGCTGCTGCTTAGCGTGGGACCGCTGGTAGCGGTCGTGGTCGCAATTCTCGTGGTGATGCTATCACTCGTACTGCTCGTCAACGGGCATGTCAGAATGGGCCTGGTTGGCACAATGCTACTGGCAGCGGTCGTAGTACCACCTCTCGTCGCGCTGCACTCACTCGTCTCGCTCTCTGACGTGCCTGTCAGAGTGGTCATTCGGGGATCTTCTGACCCGAGTCAATCCAGACCCGGCTCAGCAGGAAACCAACAAAAATGCAATGCAAGAAAAAAACTGCAACGCAGGTCTTCGCAAACCCGGGTTAGCCAATAGGCGCGGCCGCCTCGCGGCCAAGAGCGGCTAGCTAACCCTTGTCAGCCAGAGGGGGTCTTCGCATGATCCTGCAGGATCAGGTGCCCCGGCTGACCCCCGTCTGCATTGACCCCGGTCTCTCAGGCTCCGAGTCATGCTTGGCGTGGTGCTGCCGGTAGTGGTCGTGGTCGTAACTCTCGTGGTGCTGCTCTCCCTCATGCTGCTCACCGACGTGCTCGTCAGAGTGGTGCTCACACTCGTGCTGCTCTCACTCGTGCTTCTCACCGACGTGCTAGTCAGAGCGGTTTAGCGCTCGACAGCTTAGTGCTGCTGGTAGCGTTCGTGGTCGTAACTCACGCGGTGCTGTTCTCACTCGTATTTCTCACCGTCGATATTGTAAGAGTGGGGCTGCTCGGCGTGGTGCTGCTGGTAGCGGTCGTGCTCGTAACTCCCGTGGTGCTGCTCCCACTCGTACTGCACACCGACGTGCTCGTGGGGTGGTGCTGCTGGTAGCGGTCGTGGTCGCAACTCCCGTGGTGCTGCTCTGACTCGTACTGCTGACCGACGTGCCTGTCCGAGTGGTGCTGCTTGGCGTGGTGCTTCTGATAGCGGTCGTGGTCGCACCTCTCGCGGGGCTGCTCTCACTCGCTCTGCCCCTCGACGTGCTTGTCAGAGTGGTGCTGCTTGGTGCAGTGCTGCTGACAGCGGGCATGGTCGCAACCCTCGCAGTGCTGCTCTCACTCGTACTGCTCGTCGACGCGGTTGCCAGAGAGGTGCTGCTTGACGTGGTGCTGCTAGTAGCGGGCATGGTCGCAACCCTCGTAGTGCTGCTCTCACTCGTACTGCTCGTCGACGTGGTTGCCGGAGGAGTGGGCCTGGTTGGCGTGATGCTGCTGGCAGTGGTCGTAGTCTCATCCATCGTCGTGGCGGTCTCTCACGTACTGCTCTCCGCCGTGCCTGTCAAAGTGGTCCTGCTTGGCGTGGTGCTGCCAGTAACGGTCGTTGTCGTAACTCTCATGGTGCTGTTCTCCCTCGTACTGCTCACCGACGCGTATGTCGGAATGGTGCTGCATGGCGTGGTCCTTCTGGTACCGGTCGTGGTCGTAACTCTCGGGCTGCTGCTCCCACTCGTACTGCTCGCCGGCGTGCTCGTCAGAGTGGCGCTGCTGGTGGTGGTCGTGGTCGTGTCTCTCGTGGTGCTGTTCTCACTCGTACTGCTCCCGAGATGCCTGTCAGAGTGATGCTGCTGGCAGCGGTCGTAGTCTCACCTGTCGTCGTGGTGGTCTCTCACGTGATGCTCCCGCCGTGCCTGTCAAGGTGGTCCTGTTTTGCGTGGTGCTGCTGGTAGCGGTCGTGGTCGCAACTCCCGTGGTGCTGCTCTCCCTTGTCCTGCTAACCGACGTGCTTTTCAGAGTGGCACTGCATGGCGTGGTGCTGCTGGTAGAGGTCGTGAAGCGCTGATTGGCGTAGAGATGCTGGTAGCGGTCGCATTCGTGACTCTTGTGGAGCTACTTCCTCTCGCACTGCTCACCGGCGCGATTGTCAGGGTGGTGCTGCTTGGCGCGGCGCTGGTGGTAGTGGTCGTGGTCGTGACTCTCGTTGTGCTACTCTCACTCGTACTGCTCACCGACGTGCATGTTCGAGTGGTGCTGCTTGGCGGGGTGCTAGTGGCCGCGGTCGCGGTCGGAACTCTCGTGGTGGTGCACCCACTTGTACTGCTCGCCGACGTGCTCGTCAGCGTGGCGCTGATGTGGTTTTGCTGGTAGTTGTCGCATTCGTAACTCTTGTGGAGCTACGTTCTCTCGCACTGCTCATCGACGCGCTTGTCAGGGTGGTAATTCTTGGCGCGGTGCTGGTGGTAGCGGTCGTGGTCGTGACTCTCGTTGTGCTGCTCTCACTCGTGCTATTCTCCAGCGTGTTGGACAAAGCGGCGCTACTGGTCTCGCCAGAGTGGTGCTGTGGTAACACACGTACACACACCCACACGCACGCACGCACACACGCACGCACGCACGCACGCACACACACACACACACACACACACTCGCACACGCACTTGCACACGCGCACGCACGCGCACACACACACACACCCGCACACACACACACACACATACACCACACACACACACACATGCGCGCACAAACGCACGCACGCACGCACGCACGCACGCACGCACGCACGCACACACACACACACATACACACAAACGCACGCACGCACGCACACGCACGCACACACACACGCACACACACACACACACACACACACACACACACACGCACGCGTGCACGCAAGCACGCACACACAAACAAACACGCATTGAGACGATCCAGCTTGAGACTCTTTTGTCGACCGGTTCGGAACGCCTACGCGAGATGCAGTCCGCAGAGGCAATGTAGTAACGCGCAAAGCATTTGCATCTTTGTTGGGCCCGCGCCAGAAGCCCAGCAGATGCGAGGGCACACTGTGGACATTTATCCTGTCTTGATCGAGGCCTCCCAAATGGGGTCCGAGTAGATAGGGGTCGGAGGAACACACCGCATCATCGATACATCATCGACGCATCGGCGTCGGCGATGCATCGGCGACGTCGGCGTGGAGAAAATCGGGATGCGCATCGAGCCGCATCGCCGATGCATAGGCGATGCGGCGCGATCCTACCACCTCATCTACTGGGACCCCACCTGGGAGACCTAGAGCTGAAAAAGACGCAGCAGACCCAGCTATCAATCGAGTCCGATCAGCAGTGTGGCTGCGTGAACAGATGCCTACAACAACGCCGGACTCAGAACGTCAGAACACTTCTGGGACTGGCCAGGACTGCTCGCGAGAGAGCACGCCCAAGCACACCGAGGGAAGTGTCCGTCCTCCGAGCGCAGGTCGGCCTAGTGGAGATCTACATCAACAATGAAGCCGTCGAACCGCTGCTGGTCGCTTGCGGAGACGGCCTGGGCAGAGGCCTCCGTGCTCTCAGGGTAGCGGTCGAACATGGACGTGTCGTCCGCAGCCTTCAGCTTCGGAACGTACAACGGCTTCAACTGGCGAGACAGCAGCATCTCCCAGTCGAAGCCTTTGTACCACTTATGCCCTTTGATATCCTCCACGCCGCCCTTTAGGCAGCCGTAGCGCTTGGAGCGATCATGGGTCAGCAAGCGCTTGACGAGCGATTGCACCTTCATGTCGAAATGCCGTGGGAAGTCCACAGTGCCTTTCAGAACCTTCTGGTAGATGCCGAAGGCATTCTCGTCATAAAAGGGTGGGTAGCCTGCGAGCATCTCGAAGATGAGGACGCCCAAGGCCCACCAGTCCACCCCCTTCCCGTGGCCCTTGGACTGTATGATCTCGGGCGCCAGATACTCTGGAGTGCCGCACAATGTCCACGTTCGGTCTTCTATCACCTTGGCGAACCCGAAGTCGGTCACCTTGATGAAGCCGTCGCTGTCAATCAGCAGGTTCTCTGGTTTCAGGTCCCTGTAGATGACGTTCTTCGAATGGAGGTATTCGAAGGCGAGGCAAATTTCTGCGGAATCAAAGCGGGCCTCGAGCTCGGGTAATCTCCCCTCGTTCCGGAGGCGTGAGAACAGCTCACCTCCGTTGACATACTCCAGTACCAAATAAAGCCTGGTCTCATCCTGAAACGTTGCCAGGAGGTTGACAATAAAGGGGTGATGGATCTTCGCGAGGATGGCTGTCTCGGCCTTCACATGTTCCAGCTGCTTGAGCCGCAACACTTCGCTCTTCTTCATGATCTTCAGCGCGAGGGGCGTCCTGTCGGCGCTGCCCTTCACCTTCACCACACGGACGCGGCCGAAGGTGCCAACACCGACGGTGGCCCTGAGGTCGAAGTCGTCCAGCTGGAAGCTCCTCCCGCTCACGAGCTCCCGTAGGTGTGACAGGGCAGTGACTCTCGAGGGCGTGGGGGACACGGTGTCTGCGGTCGAGGGCTCCGCCGGGGTGCGCGCGCACGCGCCCATGGTGACCTTCCTGACGGCGGCGATCATCTCGCGGCGCGTCAGACTCGTTGAGGGCTTGACGAATTCTGCCGTCCCTCGGCTCGCGCAGGAGCGGCCACGACTTGCTCCAGATTCCCCTGACGACTTCCCTGGATCTACCTGGACGTGACCAGAGCACCAGTACACACACATGGACTTACCTCGACTTCTCTGCACCTGCTTCGGCTCCTTCGGCCTGGCCCCAAGGAGTGGCCTGGCAGCAGAGTCGCCAAGCCCCTATAGGGACGACCTGGGCCAGTGCCTCTGCTGCCCGCCCTCACCGGCGCCACGTCCGGGGCACGGGCCGGGGCGAGGCACCGCCGGGCGGGGCGACGGACATGTGGGCCTCCGCCAGGGGCGCGAAGGGTGCAGGGGGGCCGCTGCCTGAGCCACGACGTCTTGAGGAGCCACGCTCGGAGGAGAAGCAAGAAACCACCACTATCGAGCAGGGGCCGGTCCCTCATCCAGGGTTTGTCGGTGGCGGTGGTCCGTATGTTCCTCCTCTGGCACGCGATCGCACGGTGGGATTGCTGCACGGGTGCTGCCATGAAGTGCCCCTGGCCCGAGGTGCCCCCAAGACTTCCAAGGGAGCCCCCACAGCCTCCAGAGCACCCCTTCACGAGGCCCCAGGGCCCAGGGGGCTCTAAAATTGAGCGAACAGCTGGGGGAACCTTGGGCCAGGGGCACCTTTAGCAGCCCCCGAACTTTCCACGACCACCACGGTGAATCGGGGACGGCTATAACCTATAGTGGTGCGGTCTGCTGCACGAGGCGCCGACCGCGCAACGCAGACCACCACCGTGGGCCAGCTGCTCATACAGCCGAGCATGTGATTCGGCGAACCAGATTGATATTATCTCAAACTTAAACACAGCGTAAAGTAAATACAGTGCCTGATATCTGAATAACCTTCCAGGGTAAAACATTGAAACTAATAGCACCGTTAATGAAACAAGGACATCTGGGCCGGCTTGCAGACACGTCATGCAGCAATCCTTGGCCAATGGCTCTTGTTAGCACTGGAGGGACAAACGAGCTCAAGAAAATGGGCCAGCTCTCAGGCAAGTCGGTCAAAGAACGCTGGCCCAGCTCTTCGGGAGGAGGTCTCCGAATCAGATGCTCGACCGTAGTCCTGAGTGACGGCAGCGAACCTAGGTCCCAAGAGTCGCAGCCTCCTGCCGGCCGTAAGCTAGGAGCCCACGGCCCATACACTCGAGGCGTTGACCTACGGAACCCTTAATAAGGAACGAGGCCCTTGTTTTCCATAAGTTAAACTTCGATTCCCCATGGGAAACTTAAGGAACATCTTAGGCAAGCCGCGAAACAAAGAAGGAATGCCAAGCCCCTCCCCAACGAAAAGGGCTCCTCCTTCAGCGCCCCAGTTGTAGTCTTCAGTGCCAGTAGCGAACAGATGTTCCAAGAGCTGGGAGTGGCTGAAGGGGGGGGGGGCCGGAAATATTGAAGGGAAACTGGGACACACAAATAAATACACACAAATAAAAAGATTCCCCATATTTTCCTATATTTTCTGGGTTTTTGTCTTCCCCACCACTTCCCATATTTTCCCATATTTTCTGGGAAATCGAGGATTAATCGTGTCTGTGTGTTTCTGTTCCTCCTGAAAGATGGGTGCACTCCTCGGGCCCTATAGAGGCCCCGTTCTGGGCCCCCGAAAGGCACACCTATAGGGGCCCTGCCGGGAGCCTTTTTCTGCAGCCCTCGCCGCCCCCCCTTGATCCCCCCCCTGACGCGATGCCCGACCCTGAGATCCGAGGTGGCAAACAACTTACATCATCGTAAACAAATCTTGAAAACAAATCAGGCCTGGAGCCCTGGACACCATCTCTCTCTGCTTCCTTTTTCGACCCCGATCGATCTGCGAGCGCCCCCGGGCCCGGAGGAAAAACCAGCGAAAACACCCGGCTCGAAAAAATGGCAACGCCAGGACCTCAGGGTCAATCGCCCCCGCAATGGCGCGGCGCCCAAAGGATTCGGGAATCTGCTGGCCTGGGACGATGCACGTGCGGGTCAATCCGGCTCTGCAGGACCCTGCAAGATCCTGCACCCCAGCACGGCCCACTGCAACCCTGGCCCCGCAGGATCCTGCCGGATCCTGCACGCCCCCGCCTCTTGCCTGGACCCCCGCCTCTCGAGCCCCCAGGGGCATCGCGGCCTCCTGCGGCCGCGAGGCTGGGAGCCCACGCCGCCGGGGAGCCTCTCACGGGGCACACCCCCGGGAGAGGCCGCAAGAGCCAGGGTGCAGCCCCGGGGGGCGCGGCGGGGCCGGCGTTCCGGGGCCGCGAGGGGGGGGCACGAGAGGAGCTTTTTTGGGGATCCGCGGGTCGAGCGCGCACCTCTTCCGGTCGAAGCTAAGCGGGCCGCGCGAAGCTCGAATCGGGCGGAGAAGAGGAGGGAGGAAGCGGCGGAGCCTCAGAGCGAGGCCGAGAGGAGGCATAGCCTCGGATACAGGCGGTGCCGAAGCCGAAGTTCTTGCAAAGGGACGCCTTCGGCAGGCACGAGAGGAACACATCGGGCCAGGATCGTAACGATGAACATCCGGGCCAGGACCACACACTGGGGTCGGGCCTAAGAGCGCACCCGTAGCGTAAGGATGCGCGATCGGGACGCCATGGGCCCTGGGAGGTCATGTCGGAGCTCTCCGAGCATGGCGCGGCGGCCAACGAAAGAGTGGCCCGCGGGTGGGTCGACGGCGAGCTCAGAAGCGAGAAAGAGAAGGCCTTCTCAGAAGGCTCGGAGGTCCCCGGGCTTTCCGATGAGTGTTCTGCTTCTAAGCCTTCCCCGAAGACACAGGAAACTTCTCAGGAGGCGCGAGGGCATCTGAGATCTGAGAAGTCCCGCGGCCTTCTGAGAAGGCCTTCTCCTTCTCACTTCCCCCCCGTGCTTGCCGCCGAGTGGAGTCGGACCTAGGCCAGGAGAACATCCCTCAAGAACAAGAGATCCCCTGTCGGCCAAAACAAACAGAACATCAAAGGGTACCCTCAACAGGATGCACAAGAACATCCAACAAACACGAAGAACACGAGGGCATCCTCCCCGAACTGACCTCGATCTTATACCTCGGTCCGGCTGTAATTACGTTGCATCTTCGGCGGCCCTCGCCTGTCCCCAACATTGGTGTCTATTCTTGTGCCCGACGCGGGTTCGATGCGGACTCGAGGCGGACTTGGCGTAAATTCGACGCGGACTCGACACGGATTCAGCACGGATCCGACTAGTCCAGCGTGGATTCGACACGGATTCGACGCGGACAGGGCCACAACGGGACAGGAAAGGTCCCCCGAGGATGCAACATAAAGGAACGTCGGGGATCTCTGAGATCCAGCGGTTCTGGAGGATGTATCGGGCGCCACGGCCTTCTCAAAGCGTTCTCGGAACGCTCTGAGAGCGTCCTGGATCGCGCTGGAGCGACTTTATTCCTGTCATATCCCCGCCTGACGAATGCGTGACACCGCAGGTGCATCCAGACAAGCGGTCACGGGTGTATCCAGTCTTCGCACAGGCCAGCCACGTCATGTGCATCCAGCTTGCAAGTGCTTTACCACAGGCTGCTCCCGCATATCTCATGTTTTGACTTGCAGACGTCATGCCTACTGCTCTATGTCAGCATCGGCTTTCCAGTTCAAGCTTCGCGTGCGTTTGTTGGCGATATGCGCAAATATACGCGCACGCGGGCGCTGGCCAACACACCGGCCGATGTCCAATAGATTCGGGATGATGTATCCAGCCTTTTTGGCTTCATTATGATCATCTTCGGCACTACGGATCCCTCCAGACGTCGAAACTGACAAGTGTTTTCGAGCCGCGCTCAGCCGTGGCAACAAAAAGGCCCCATTCTCCCCCCGTGCTGCCGGCCAGAACCAGCTCTGGGCCACCTCGGCCCTCCAGAGGGCTCCAACGGTAAGCATCGCGCTCTCCCGAACGGGCCCCCAGCTTGAGGGGATCCCACAACCGTGCGGTGACAGACCGCGCGGTAACCTCCAGGCCCCAAGAGACATCACCGCACAGTCAGTCACGGCACGGTCAGGGAACGCCTCTGGCCAAAAGTCGCCATGTGGAGCTGGACGGAGTCCCGAGGACCCCCCCACACGAGGGAACACCTCGGGCACATCGCCTCGAAGTTTCACGAGTCCCGAGTAAGCCCCCACGCGAGGGAACACCTCGGGCTCGATGCCTCGAAGTACGATGACAAGGACATGTGCAATTCCTGTCGAATGTTCCACTACAAGTACTGATGCAGTTTCTGTCGAATGTTTCACGATGAAAATGTCTTTAGAAAGTTTCGCAACTGGAGAGGACCCTCTCATGGGAGGTGGAGCCGAAGCTGATGATGGGGAGGAGGACCACGCTGACCAAATGATCGCAACACGTGCCATGCTCAAGCTCAACGTCACGAGCCTGAACAAGGCAAGACTCCAGGAGGTCTTGAAGTGCGCCGTGGCTTGCTCGACTCCACCACCGCCTGGTGCAGTATGTGAAGTACTCCAAACCTGAACGGCTGAAGTATGGCGACCTCGACTTGGGCGTACCTCAGTCATTCGCGACGCGGGTCTTGGACACAGAGTGGTTGGCATCAGGACGGCCAAGGCCACGTACTTGTCTGTATACTCACCACAACAGTACGATACGATTTGGACGGCGAGTCTTCTTCAGTATATCCAAAGTCTTGGTATTGATGGGCATCCAGTATTCTTCATGGTGATCTCAATTGGCGGGAGTCGTATACTGCTGTCATGGGGCCTGGATTCCGAAAACCAATTGGCGCAGCAAGCGATACCAACGACAGCTCAGGGTACGGCACCGACGAGGTGTGGTAGATTCGGCCCCTTGATAAGCTCACCACCAAGGTGTCAGGCATACCTCACCATGCGCTGCTGAGATATTCTATTGAGGTGCCGGTGTCTACCAGAAGAGCGGAACGACTTCACCTCATGGCAGAGTATGTGTTGGAGCGCGTGCCATGAGAAGATGAGAGGGAAGCCCTACGGGCGGAACTCGATAGGCGACTCCCTGCTGCGTATGACATGGCCCTTACTTCAGAAGCGATGATGGCACGGTGGAAGTTGTGGCACTCACAAGCTGAACTTGCGTTGGCCATCGGAGTGGAAAGGGACTATGTGGCAGTGGAGCGACAA